TCCCGTCTGTCCTCCCAGGGGACACGCCTGGGGCCCCATGCCAGATTCCTGCCTGCCACCACACCCCACAAGTGACCCCAACATGCCCTCCCCAGCCCTCCCCAGCCCTCCTCAGGCCCAGCTGGGGACCGAGTCCTGTCCAGACGCCACATGGGAGGAAGTGGAAATAGAGGCCAGTCGGGGCTGGGCGGGTCCCCATGAGGCCCCCCCAAAGCAGAGCAGGTCTGGCTCTGGCCTGAGCTGGAGCGGGGACTGGTCACACGCACCTTCTTGGCGGGGTGCCCTTTACCTTCTGATCTCAGAGTGGCGGTGGACCCCTGCCAAGGGCCCTCGCCTCATCCGCAGGCTTCCTTGGGGCCACCAGAGTTGGGGACCAAGTGGCCAGCCTCTCCCTTCCTTCATGCCCGACCCCATGTGTGTTTGCTGCCCCAACTTCCTGCCTGGGCCACCGGGTCATGGGACAGTCAGATAATGATAGAGATGATAATGGCCACGCCAAGTGACCGGACAATTCACTGGCATCATCTCATGAGATCCCCACGCGCCTCTGAGAGGCTCAGAGTAACGGACAGCTCAGGAAAGCCAGGAAGTGGCCAGGACAGACGTCAGCCCAGGCCTGGCCAATCCCCAGAGCCCATGCCCTGGTCCCCGCCCCCTCCCGGCCTGCCTCTCCTGGTGAGAAAGGGCCCGGACCCCTGGGCTGGCTCCCTCTCTTCCCCCAGCCCCCAGCAGGCATGGATGTGAGCCTGGCTTTGTTCGAACCATAGGTACCATAGGCGTGAGCAAGAGAGCACACATTCCAGCCACGTTGAGCCTCATCCCTGTAGCCAGGCTGTGTGCCCGCATGTAGGGGCCTCCTCAAACTCTGACCCGGTCCTGGGAGGCAGCCCATTGCCGTTTGCTTTACAGAGGAGGAGACAGAGGCTCAGAGAGGCCCCCAGCTTGAGAGAGGAAGGTCTGAGCTGGGTGTGCCTGACTCCAAAACCCGTGCTCACCACCACTCCCCAGCGGCCCGCTCTTGTGAGGCCTCTGTGGCCACTGGGCCGCAGCCCCACCGCACCCTCCCCGGCAGGGCCAGGAGCAAGTGCCCCGGTGGGCTCAGCAGCTCCTGCCCAGGCGGGCTCCCTCTGCAGGTGGTCACAGAGTGGGGCGAGACGGGAGCACTGCCCAGTTCCCCACACCTTTCACAACCCAACCGATGGCGCCATGGAGCAGGAAGGATTACAAACAGGCCACAGGAAGCTCTGACGCTGCGGGGGAGGGTGGGGGCAGGAGGGCTCTGCAGAGCCTGGGACCAGAGGATACACGGCCGCAGGGCTCCCTCCAGAGTGGACAAGGCTGGCCAAGGATGGTGCCGTCCAGGGCCCTGGGGGCACTGCTTCTCCCGCTCCTCCTACTCCTGGCCTCAGGTGAGCGACTGGCTCCTCATCCCCTCCTGCCAAGCCCGGAGACCCCCTGCCAGGGGCGAGGATGGGTAGGGAGGGGGCTTGAGTTAGATGCCATCCTGATAAACTTTGGTTCTCCGGGCCTCAGGTCAGTGGCCTGGGGATGGAGGGAGCATGGAGAGTGCTCCCCACTACGCCACCTGCACTGTGGCTCCCTGGCAGGCCTGGCCCTGGGACACAGGTGGGCTCTGGGACACATGTGGGTCCTGGGACACAGGTGGGCTCTGGGACATGGGTGGCCCTGGGACACAGGTGGGCTCTGGGACATAGATGAGCCCTGGGACACAGGTGGGCCTGGGACATAGATGAGCCCTGGAACACAGGTGGGCCTGGGACATAGATGAGCCCTGGGACACAGGTGGGCCTGGGACATAGATGGGCTCTGGGACACGGGTGGGCCTGGGACATAGATGGGCCTGGGACATAGATGGGCTCTGGGACACGGGGGGGCCTGGGACACAGTTGGGCCCTGGACAAGCGCTTCTCCAGCTGGCCTCTGAGCTCTGAGAAGCGGCAGGGGAGCTGTAGAGCCTGAGGGCTGGCAGGGCTTACACCGCCCTCCCACCACCCTCCTCCGGCCCGCCTCCCTGTCCCCACAATGGCCCCACAGTCCTCAGGCACCCAAACCAGGAACAAGACTCTTCCGCCCGCTTCACTCTTGGCCTTGCACACATGTGGCCGTTGTCCAGGGGCAGTTTGAAACCCCCAGGCCTTGTGCTTGCTGTTCTCTTTCCCAGGAAAGCAGTGCTCCAGCCCCTGCCCACCTGGCCAGCTCTTATTCATTTCCCTGCTGCTCTGGGAAGTCCATGGTGATCCCTCAGGCAGAGGGGGAGAAAACCTACTGCGGGGAGCTTTATCTGGACAAGGGGGAGGCAACTTGGTGTCGGTGCTAGGGAGGCAGTGGGGAGCGGTGGGGTCTGTGGTGAACTGGACTTGACAAACCCACACCGAGGGGGCAGCTGCTGCTCATCTCCAGCTGGTCACTGCCTTGCAGGGATGAGAGCCTGTGCAGTCAGACCACCTGCCTTTGATGAGAAATGAACACCTACAATGGGTTCTGTCCTTTATGATCTCTAATCTCCCCCCAAAACCCATTGGCCTCATTTGACTGATGAGAAGATTGAGCCTCAGAGAGTTTAAGTAACTTGTCTGAGGCCACACAGCTTGTATGTGACCCAAAGCTTCCCCTCCAGCCCCTGTCCCAGGTGAAAGGGAACGGAACTGGAAGTCATGGAAGCTGGTTGCTAGTCCTGGAGCCACCTCCAGCTAGCTGGTGACCTTGCCCCAGTCACTAGGCTACAGGGGCCTCAGCTTGCTGTCTCCCCTACTCCAGGAGGTCGCCATGAGGGTTGTAATGGAAATGGGGGAGAATGAGGCAAACCAAGACCAATACATTCATAAGGCCACAGTTGCAAGGGCTTTGGAAAGTCTGATGTAAAACAACTGCAAAAAGCCAGGCAGACTTCCTGGAGGAGGTGCAAAAGGGTACTATCCCTAACATAGTAAACCTTTTATCTACAGAGCCACATGCCCAAGCCCTTTGCACACACTTTCTCCAAAGCATCCCACTGGCCCTGTAAGAAGGAGGGGGGAGGGGGGAGAGAGGGGGAAGGGGAAGGGTCCTTTCACCTTGGACCCGAGGCCCAGGGAAGGTGTGATCTAGCTCAAGTGCACACCATCAGTGTGAATGGGCGGAGCTGGGGTTCCAGCCCACACCACAGACCCTGGATCCCTTGCTGCCCCTTCACACTCTACGTCCCTCCCTTAGGTGAGAAAGATTTCACGAACAAATCTGAGCAAACAGCACAGTCTGAGGAGCCAAGGAACGTCTGCCTGGGGCTCATCAATAAGGACCATTACGAACCCTTTGAGCTGATGAGCACGGCGAAGTGCTTCAACAACTGCGTGGAGTCGGGGAGCTCCTCCTGTCATCTGGACAACTTGCAGAGGTAACAAGGCCCTCTGAGCGGGAGCAGGGATCTGGGGTTCCTGCAGGGGCAGGGAGGAGGGACGTGACGGAGCTATCAACCCCCACGACCCCAGAAAATGCTGCTCCCATCTCGCCCTTCCACCTTGTTGTTGGACACGCATATCTCTCTGACCCTGAGACACCTCTGACTCAGTGGATACAGAGATAAATCAGCCCCCGTCCCTCCCATTGGGAGTTGTGAAGTGACAGACACAGGCCCAAACGGTGATGACTCCAGAGTGTGGTCCTACAGAAGGGGGAACAAGGGACCAGGTTAGCTCAAAGGAAAAACGTCTGCCAAGGCTTCCTAGAGGAGGGAACCCAGGAAAGGGCTTTGAAGGTTGCATAGGAGTTTTCCAGTTGCACCCAAACAATGTTAGGAGATATGGGCAACCGAACTTCAGTGAGTATTGAGGAAGAACACCAGTGCTTTGAACTGTGAAAGAATAACGTGCTGGCGATGGAAGTAACAATGGGGAGCTGGGGCGGTTGGGGATAGAACTGAAAATATAAGTCGGGACCAAAATATGAAGAGTTGTATAAGCTACACCAATGTGAGAAGGGGCGGGCCAATGCTGTATTTTATTTTTTAATATATTTCTATTGATTTCAGGGAGGAAGGGAGAGGGAGAGAGAGATAGAAACATCAATGATGAGAGAGAATCATTGATTGGCTGCCTCCCGCACGTTGGACCGAGTCGCAACCCAGGCGTGTGCCCTTGACCGGAATCGAACCCGGGACAACTTCGGTCCGCAGGCTGACGCTCTTTCCACTGAGCCAATCCATCTAGGGCTGCATGTATGTCTTGTCTTTTTATTTCCCTAATGATATCTTTTGAAGATCCAAACATATACTTTGGATGAAGCCCAGTGTAAATTGTGTGTGTGTGTGTTTGCTGTCATATCAAAGACATTTCCTCTAGCCCAAGGTGGCAAGGATTTTCTCCTAAGTTTTCTTCTACAAGTATATGGTTCTAGCTCTTATAATTAGGTTGTGCATTTGGAGTTAAATTTTTGTGTACAGTGTGAGGTAAATGTCTAACTTTACATTATTATTATCACTACTACCTTTACATTTGGATATCTAATGTTTTGGCACCATTTATTGAAAAGACGATGCTTTCTCCACTGAATTGCTTTTGGAGCACATTCCATTGAAGAGCTAAGTGGAGCCTTAGCCGGTTTGGCTCAGTGGATAGAGCATCAGCCTGTGACCAAAGGGTCCCGGGTTTGATTCTAGTCAAGGATATGTATTTTGGCTGCAGGCTCCTCTCTGGCCCAGACCCTGGACAGGGCGTGTGCAGGAGGCAACCAATCAATGTGTTTCTCTCACATCGATGTTGATGTTTCTCTCCATCTTTCCCTCTCCAACTCTCTCTTAAAAAAAAATCAATAGAAAAATATCCTCGGGTGAGGATTAACAACAAAATAACCCCCCAAATCAAACAATGAGAGTTCAGTGGACGCTCCTGGAATGTCTTCTCCCACGCTGGTGAACCAGAAACGAAGCTACCTCCCTGCGGAGAGTAATGGCCCTGTGACAGATTTGAAAGAAGCAGGGGTGGCGATAGCTGTTCCATCCCCATTGAACTCTCCGGAGTCAGGCTGGTCTCGGAGGAAGGCTGCGGACCAGCGTGAACTTAATGGCATGGCGAGTCCAATGACAGCTGCTGTCCCAGACGGATGTGTTCACTCGAACAAATCAACACGGCCCCTGGCAATGGGCACCCAGCTATTACCCGGCGGATACTTTTTCCTCCGTACCCGTTCGCCAGGGCCTGGCAGAGCCAACGGTATTCTGTCGCGGTGTTTCCTCGGGGCTGTGTCAGTTCCCCGCTCCTTGCTGTCATCACATGCTTCACAGAGGCCTTATTCATCTTGACATTCAGCAAAGCATCCCTGGTCCGCATTATGCCGATTAGATTTGAGGAGCAGAAAGTGACACGTACTTAGATGCCTGAGGAAGACATAAGTGAACTAGAGGCCCATCATCTCATTGCATTTTCTGGGCCTTCGGATGTCTGGAGAATGGCAAGATGTCCCCTCCAACGTAAAAGGTGAGTTGTTTAATGTCACACCACGTAACCATGAAAAAACAACCACAAGCAGGCACAATGTGGGAAGACAGGTATTCGGCAAACATGAAACTAAAGGAATCTAAGCAGCTATCCTAGTATCAGGCAGGCAAGATGGTACTTAAGTGGGTGTTGATGTTATCATTAATAATTCATTGGTATAGCAATGCTTTAGACTTTTTGAATATGTTACATTTCATACCTAAAATAATTTTTTAAGTGCTCTGAGAAGCAGATGAGGAAATATTTCCTTGAGAAAGCAAATGGGGCTGTTTTAGGAGGCCACAGAATTTTTTTTGAGTGCATGAGGTGAAATATATAATGAAATACAATTCACGATTTTGTTCGGTAATCATGACAATCGCAATACTTCTTTTTAAAAATATTTTTATTGATTTCAGAGAGGAAGGAAGAAGGAGAGAGAGATAGAAAGATCAATGATGAGAATCATGGATCAGCTGCCTCTTGCACGCCCCCCTCTGGGGATCAAGCCTGCAACCTGGGCATGTGCTCTTGACCGGAATCGAACCTGGGACCCTTTAGTCTGCAGGCTAACCCTCGATCCACTGAGCCAAACAGGCTAGGGCCTCAATACTTCTTTGTTTCCATTTTTAAAAGGTAAATAAAAGCTAGACTCAATTGACGTGGCTCAATCAATGGATTTGGACAGCCTCGCCCCACTGCCTCTGGCTTGATGGTGTTCTAACTGCCTGCTACACTCAAGCACATCTGCACATCTCTGCCTGGCTTACTCTTTACATTACACAATATTTTTTTCTGTGGTTTCTTGAGGGGGTTTTGCCTTGGTAACGGCAAGCGTTCAAAAATGATGTCAAAATAAGAGCCTCCTTTTGTGTTCCTGGCAAGCCCTCCATAGCTACTCCTTTCCAACAGCCTTGATCTAGCTGTATCTGCCCGCCACCCTCACCCCTCCCTTCCCATTGCTGTCTCAGGCAGCAGATCTTAAGACCCTAGGACGGTTTAAGAAAAACAATCACCTGGCCTGCATGGAAGTTTCAGTACCACGGAGAGCGCCACAGCCTGGCCGCACCTTGCTGTTTTAGTGGAGTCCAGGGAGCTGTGGTAAAGTAACTGCCAATTAACTTCTGTGTTCTGTGAGGTTCGACAGCAGCTCAGCTCCCACAGGTCAGTTTCCACCCGGCTCCGTCCTCAAAGACCGAATTCCCGGTATGCAGTGGGTACTCACTAGATGCGAGGAGGCGCTCACCCACGCCGCGCAATTACCATCCCGCAATTGAAAAGGCTCAGGGGAATTCCTCCAAAGCAGATATGCGAAGACCAGCGCGCATATAAAAAGATGCTCAACATCATTGCACAGCAGGGAAATGCAAATTCAAACCGCAGTGAGATGCCACTTCATACCTACAATGAAGAGCAAAACGAAAAATAAGCATTGGCAAGGACGTGAGGAAATGGGAGCGTACCTCGTTGGCGGGAACGTGAAATGGTGCAGGCTGTGGAAAACAGCCTGACAATTCCTCAGAAAGTTAAGCAAAGCTTTACCACCGACTTCACTCCTAGGTTTGTACCCAAAAGGACGGAAAACAAATCCTCCAACAAAAGCTTGTCTGTGAATGATCATAGCAGCCCTAGTCACAATAACCCAAGCATGGGAACGACCCAAATGTCCATCAATGGGTAAATGGATAAACAAAATGTGAGCTATCTGTACAATGAAATATTATTCACCCCAGAAAGAAGGAATGAAATACTTGTACAAGCTGCAACATGGATGACCCTTGAAGACATGATGCTAAGTAAAAAAAGGCCAGGCACAAAAGGTCAGGTGCCATCTAATTCCATTTATATAAAATATCCAGAATTGGCAAATGTATACAGAAACCAGATGAATGGTTGCCAGGGGCTAGGGGAGGAGGGAAGAGAGTGACTGCTTAATGGGTATGGGGTGATGCATTGTACGCCTTAGAAAAATATTTTTATTGATTTCAGAGAGGAAAGGAGAGAGAGAGATAGAAACATCAATGATGAGAGAGAATCATTGATCAACTGCCTCTTGAGCACCTATTAATTATTGATGAGAGAATCATTGATCAGCTGTTTCCTGCACACCCTATTCCGGAAATCAAGCCCACAACCTGGACATGTGTCCTGACTGGGAATCAAACCATGACCTTCTGGTTCATAGGTCCACATACACTTTAAAGTAGTTAAAATGATACAGTTTATGTTCTATGGAAGTTTTTACAAAAAGACAAACACGTGAAATACTCAGAGGGACTGCTGGCTGGAATCCCTCGGACGAGCTTGGGCTGTTTCCTCACCACCCCTCTCCTCGGTGCTCCCAGGGTCTTCCCGTTGCCATTCGGAGTCACCCCTCCCGCCCCAAGAGCCGGATGATCATGGCCCATAGTCTCGCTCCTCCTTTCAGCCAGGTTGGGGACCAGGTGAGTGGGGGGCTCAGCTGGCAAGGCCCCACATTGCCCCTGCCCCCGGCCCCTTGCAGGTACTGGCTGGACTACGAGGCCTACCTTGTGGAGAGGAGTCTGAGGGGGACGGTGGATTTGCCTTTTCTGAAGGCTTTTGTCAAGAACGTCAGCACCAGCATCGCAGAAGACCTGCACTTCTCTCTGAACCTCTCTCAGGTGAAGCGTCCCCGGCCCTGCTGGCTGGCTCTGGACGGTTTCCTCTGGCCTGGCTTTCGGAATTCTGCGGGAGTCACGGTCTGGGCTTGGTACCCAGCAAAACCTAGCCCTCCTGTGTCCCTGCAGGGCCCCTCCGCCTTGCAAACGGGCGCTGGTGAGTTAAGTGGATGAGTGGGTCCTGGTAACAGATTGTCCAGATTTCTAGGACGAGACCCCTGGGAGGTCTCCTTGTTACTCCCATTCTCCAGATTGGGAAAACTGAGGCCCCGTGAGTGCCATGATGTGTCCCAGGGCTCACAGCCTGGACAGAGCAGAGCTGAGGCTGTGCCCCCAGGTGTCCTGCCTCTCAGAGCGGAAGTCCTCAGGTGCCGCCTCTCCACCGGGCGTGCCTCAGTTTCCCTCCCCCTTGGGGGAGTGGCAGGACCTGTGTTGGGGGCTGGAATCCTTGGGTCGAGAAGGAGCCACTGGGTCTGTGGTTACAGATTCCGGGGCAGATGACGGAGGACAAGCACCAGTTCCCTGCCAGAGTCCGGCTGCCCAGGAGCCTGTTCGCCTCCCTGCAGGGCAGCAGGCCAGTGGTCCCCTTGGCCGTATCTGTGCTGGATGTCGGCCGGGGGAACCTCTTCAAGGTGAGATGCTGGGTGGAGGGCAGGGCAGCTCTGAGGCTCCCCAGGCAATGTTCGTCTTCTGGGGGGTCTTCCTCGAGGAACCCCTGGCAATGGAGAGGTGAAGAGCCTCTGCAGCTCACGGCCACCCCAGACCCGTCTCTAGAGCCTGTGGCTTTCAGACTCACACTGGTCCACACACTCAGATATTCGGACCCCACATAGCAGTGACCTTGGACTGTACGTGTATCCCAAGTGTGCCCGTGTCCCTGTGGGTCCCTGTGCATGCACACACATGCATGTCTTTCCTATTCCTGGTACACACACAGTCCACATGAGCGAGTGTGCCCGTACCCATGCAGGTGTGTCCCATGCGTGTCCCAGAGGCATATATGTGCTCCCAAGCAGATGTGTGCATGCCCAGTGCTGGTGCGGCCAGGGCCTTCAGTGGTGGGGTACTTACCCCCGTAGGCACCCACTGGCCCCCATTTCTGGGCTGATGTTTCTCCTCGCCCCGTGCCCCTCCAGTTAAGAGGCAGAGGAGTCTGGAGGCCAGGCGTGGAGAGCGGTGGGTGCCTGGCTTTGTGACCAGCCCGAGCAGGAGGCCACAGGGAGCAGCAGGGAGGATGTCACCCCTGACCCCTTGGTCCTCTGACCCCCGGTCCAGACTTTGCCCTCCAGGCAAGGACTACGGGTCCTGGAGGCTCCCAGGAACCCTGCCACGGCTGAGTTGAGACAGCCCTTCTGCAGCCTGGCCCCCATCTCCCTCCACAGGGCCCCCAGCTCAGCCTGGACGACGAAGGCAGCGTGTTGAACAACCGCCTGGTGGGTCTGAGTCTGGGCCGGATGCGGGTCACGGCGCTGCCAGAGCCTGTGGAGATCACCTTCTCGCACCCGCACCAGCCTCCGGTGAGCCCCCACCCAGGCCGGCAGTGACGCAGGGGCAGACAGGCAGGTGGGCACCCCTGGGCACAAGGACAGACACACACAGGACTCCGCACCGTCCGCCCTCCACATCCACCCAGGAGAAGCCGTTAGGACCGC